TTGTGCAATAACAATGAGCTAATACTGTTAATCTATTGGTCATTATTAGCATTTTGAATTTGCTAAATTCTAAATGAGAGTTTAATGACAAATTTGTTTATTTATTTTTGAAACAAATAATTTTGCTCACAGATTACAAAGATGAAAATAATTTCTTCGTTGTTTAGTCATTAACATATTTTTATCCGATGCAGTACTGTTTGTAAAATTTTTTCCAATCTTTGCAAGTTCATATTCATTTGGATTTCAACTTGAAAAAGGCAAAGTTTTCTTTTTTGGCAAAAGCTTAAGAAGTCAAAATTAAGAAATATATAAGTTATCAAAATGAAAAAAGGCAAAGTTTCGATTCAAATTTCAATAGTTTAAATAACACTTTTCTATCAAAGTCTTTTTAATTAAGCAGGAAATCATATATTACCCATTAAAATTGGATCGTTTTGTGCATTGCTATATGTTTATTTTTTATCAATAGTATTGTTAGTATTATTTAATGGTATTATTACTATGTAACTTATCTTTCAAAAATTGATATTAATATGATATTATTAGCATTATTAAGTAGGTAATTTCAGCAACCAAAAACTTGAAGAGTTAAATAATAAAAATAAGAAAATTATGGAAAAATGTTTTGGCTATTAAATATTTTTCGTCTCTTTTTCTCCTATTCATTTCTCTCTCTTACCCTTTCCCTTAATTAGTTTATGATATAATTAAGTCATTTATAACTATGATGTGATTTTCCATTCAAATGATATGAAATCATTGATAACAACAGCGAAAAGAATATCGCGACAAAAGATCGAATCATTGACACGAACATTTCTGGCAGTTCATCATTCCGTCTATCGCCGATGCATATTATTTCGGCTTCCATTTCGATGTTTTATTTTGCACTTTAACATTTTTAAAAATATTTACCATGCAAGAGAGAAGGAAATTGAAAACAATAAATGAAATTTCCGCTTTTTAAAGTTTTTTCTTTTTTTGCTGACATTGAATTTTAAGGTCGTTTAAAATTATAATATATGAGATGTTTAACACATTATTGATGTTTCACGCACAAAAGGCAAAAATTTTTTGAGGTAATAATTAACGAATCCATTGAATTTTTAATAAAATTTGTTCTACTTATTGTGCCGTTCAAAGGTAAGCTAAATGCGGTGTTTTCTTTTCTTTTTCCTTTAATTCTTGAAATTTGTTGACATTGTTAAATATTCAAAATTCAAAAAAGTTTAGGTACGATAATATTAATTCAGATGCTGTAAAGCAAGAAATACAAATAGCTTTAAATACAGTTAGTACTTTTTTTTGACCTTTGGTTTGCTAAATGTTAAGTCTAATTAATCAAACAACTTAGATTAAACAAATTTAGATAATTAAGCATTATTATTTTTCAACGAAACATTGGAATAATAGTTGGAGAAAAAGGCGCACGTCATAAATTTCCCTAACTGCCGTTTTTTTATCGCTATCGGATTGGAGCTTAATTGCTTGGTAATAGTGTGCATAAAATAATCTGGGGATTACTATTCTCTCATTAAATATTTCATTCCATTATTGAGAGAAAATTCAGAGATTGCTTGGTATTTGGTGTAAATTTGAACAAATATGTAGTAAGTATAGTCGGATTAGTTTAAAATTTCAAAAAGGACATTTTTCAAAACTCGAATCAAACAATGCTTTTTTTGTTAGCAAAATAAACATTAACATAGTTCTTTTATCCTTTTCTGATAAGTTATTTAGGTGTAAGTAAAAAATTGCTAAAATTTATTTACTGTAAATGAACTAAAATTGTATTAAATACTAAGATAAGCATAGATTTAAACCCAAGCATTACAAAAATATTTTTCTTTCCACTTTTGCATAAACTTCCATCCATCAATTTGTTCATCCTTTGTGCATTTTGAAAATAAAAAAAATTTTTGTACTTTTTTAACAATGGAAAATATTGTTTTATTTTTTAGCATGGAATGAATTAGTTGTTTGAATTATTGATGATAACTTTTAAACAAAGGGAAAAAGGACTAACTTTAAAGTGTACATTGTCTCTTTTGTCAAAAAACACAATTGTGTTTTAAAGATTATCGTTGATTCCTTAAAATATTTTAAAATTGAAGTGGATAGTTTCATTTATTCGATGATTGCATTATTTTTCTTATTTTGACAATTTTTATGGCTATCAAATTACATCTAAAACTGATAACATATCAGTTGATAAGCGTTAATAATAAAACGAAATCTAAAATTATTTTTTAAAGCGTTTTTCTTCTGCCTCCAACTTCTACCTGCCTTCTGCCTCCAACAAATCCTGAAATTTCGTTGTTAACAATTGAAATATTTTTTGGTAACAATTACGATTTATTAATTCTGAATGAATAAATGATTTTTAATGTGTGTGTTATCAGTTTTTGGTATTATTCGGTTCGAATATTTTGATTATTATTTCACAAAAATAATGACCTGTCTTAATTTTAGTGATGAAAAAAATACTTTGAGGGAATATTCGAATAATTTTTAGACGTGATAGTAATATCGAAATTAATAATAAATCAGTATTCATTCATGTTAATTGTATATTACGCTGAACAGTTAGTAAATGCGTACAATGAAATTGATAAAATGCATACAATGAATTTATTATTATCATCAGAATAATTAGTAAAAATACACGCAAATAACAAATTGTAATGAAAATATTTTTCACAAAAGAATTCTTCGAATATACACGGAAAAAGTGCATTTTTTTCTAATTTTAATAAAAAAGGAAAGGACTAAAATTTTTGAAATATTTCTTCCTACAAACCAGAAATATACTAACAATTTTTTCAGTTTAATATAAGAGTTATCATTGCAAATGATTAAAAGAAGAATATGATTTTAATAATTAGTTAAGCGAAAGTATTAATTGAGATCAACCAAAAATTGAAAATAATAAGCGATTTGCAAAACTACTTAGTGCACTATCTATGCCTAATTAGTACTATTATTAATAAATTACTTTACGGTTAAAAGTAATAATAAAGTATTAATAAAATAAAACTGATTAGCAACTTTCTCCAAATTTATGAAATAAATATTTTTTAGCAATCCAGTTTCTTAAAAATAATGTTTTCTAACCGGTTCCAGTAAGATCAAATTATTTTATTGCTTGAATTTTATAATTTTTTATACTTTCCTTTGCTGAAATTTTTGTCACTCTTTTCTTTGAGCATTTCAAGTAGCAGCTTAAAATATTTTCTAATCATTCAAATATTGCTTTTGCTGGTAATAGTATCAGATGCCATCTTTTTGATTTCGTTAAAATTAATTGTTTATTTATTGCTGAGGCTAATTTAATTTTCTTAGCTAAGTTTGATATATATGCATTCACGCGCGATAAAAACTTATTGCCTACTTAAGAAGATGATTTGAAAATTGAAAACGACAAATTTTACAGATTTAATTTAAAAAATTTTCTTGCTGTAAAAGTGTTCACTTTTTTAATATTACTCGCCAAAAAGGCATGCATGGAATAACATTTTTTTGCCAAAATTTTATTTAATTGACAATAATGTCAGATTGATACGTTTTAATCGAAAGGAAATGGTCAAAACTGGAAGGCAAGTGATAACAAAACAAGGCATCATTGAGGGAGTGCGATTAGTTAGTGATAACAATTATCAAATTGATGCATTCCTTGGCATACCATTCGCTAAACCACCGATTGGGCCATTACGCTTCAAAGTTGGAAATTATTAATTTCTGTTGCAATATCAAAGACTAATTTCATTAAAATAGTATAATGGAAATGAATTTATTATAAGTTGTTTTTGTACAATCGAAATTAAATATATAGAAAAGAAAGGAAAAAAAAATTAACTAATCAATTTTGCATAAGAGGAAATGAAAAAATCATGAAAAGTTTCGTTAATTTTGATAAAATTTCATATGCTTGTTAAAATTGGGAATTATTATTCTCAAATATTAACATAATTTATTAAAGTCAAACAATTTTACACTGCATATGAGGATAGTCATTACACGTATATCAATTTACTGATAAAATTAAAACTTTCACTCTTGTAATTTTGTAATTAATCAAAAAATTTCAGAGGCCAGAACCGCTGGAACCATGGAAAGGCGTGAAAAAAGCGATAAAATTTGCTCCACGAGCACGCCAACACAATTTTTTATGGGCGAGATTGAGGAATGAAGTTAAAAAAAGTGAAGATTGCCTCTATTTAAATGTTTTCTCACCGGCATGGTCTCCAATAAAAGATCAGGTATAATAACATTTGTAATTATATCATTATGATGAAAAACTTCCAATAATCAAATATTCCTATCATTATTTTGATCATTTTAGTTAGGAGACTTTAAATTTATAATTGGCTTTTTATTATTTTATTGATTAAATTCAATTTTTATTGTAATATACGAATTCATTTATTATACATATAAAATTTATTTGTATTGATTTTTGCATGATAGATATCTTTATTAAATTCTGTTTATTACATTAATTTTATTCATTTTCTTATCAAAGTAATGATTTTACCATTCTTTCTCAATTACTCAATTATTTTTAATTAAAAAATAGATAAATAACCAAAGTAATAAATATTATTTGACAGAAAAATGGTTTTGCTGTAATGATATTCATCCATGGAGGAGGATTTCTGATCGGTTGTGCAGCTCAATATGGTGATATCAATATTTGCAAGTATTTGTTTATTTTTATCAAAACCATTAAATGAGATTACATTAAGTGAAATTACATTGAATGGATTTTGCTCTAAATCGCGTAGAATTTGAATCGAATTACTTTGAACTTTTAAAATATACGTTCTGAAAGAAATAATGTACTGCAAGCTTATTTAATGATTTTATAGCAATTTATGTCGTCGTGATGTTATCGTTGTAACAATACAATACCGCCTTGGCTTACTTGGATTTTTTTGTACCGGTGATGAAGTATGTCCAGGTAATAATGGCCTATGGGATCAAGCAATGGCATTACAATGGATAAAGGTTAATAAATTTTTGAAATTTTAAAAGATATCTCTTAATGAAAGAAATCGTACTCGAAAGATTTAGAGATGATGTGAGGAAAATATAAAAAGATTTTCGAATATGTTTTGCAGTTAAGGATTTTCTTGTTTGTTTTATTTAGAAAGTCAAAAAATTTCGATTAATGATTTTTAAACTGCAGAAGAGCCCATTTGAAGTGTTTCAGGAAGTATTAACTTAAATATTGACGATTTTATTTTTAAAATAAATTACTGAATAATGGATCATTTTTGTTGCTTTTATCACTCCAGGAAAATATCAGTGCATTTAATGGTAATCCGGAACGTATTACGATATTTGGTCATAGTGCAGGTGGTGCAAGCGCTGATCTCTTGTCATTATCACCGAAATCGCAGAGTAATTTTGTGCTA